CAGTATGATGAACAATGCAGCTGATGTCAAACAGTCTTGTGGGAATGACGCGGGAGAATGTGGAATTTCCCTGGATGGAAGTTGGCAAAGACGCGGTCATGTCTCGCTCAATGGCGTTGTTACCGCTATCTCGCTTGATACAAAGAAATGTTTGGATGTGGAGGTTATGTCCGATAAATGTAAGGGATGCCAGAATTGGCAAGCCAACCATAAATGCAAGATACACCACACTGGAAGTGCTGGCAGTGTGGAAACAGCTGGCGCCGTGCGGATTTTTCAAAGATCATTTGTGCAACGAGGACTTAAGTATAAGAATATGCTTGGTGATGGTGATTCATCAACTTACAATGCTATTGTTGAGAATAAGCCCTATGGTGATGACTGCATCCCAAATAAATTAGAATGCATCGGACATGTGCAAAGAGAGTTGGAGGTCGGTTGCGGAGGTTGAAAAAAATCAGCGAAAGGTGTTAAACTTAGTGATGACAAGACTTTAGGAGGCAAAGGGAGGTTAACAGATGGGAAGATTGATATTTTACAAAATTATTATGGTCTTGCTGTGAGAGAAAACTTACATGATGTGAATAAAATGGCCACAACAATTAAAGCAACGTTATTCTATGTTGCTTCAAGTGATTCGGATCCTCAACATCATCTTCTAGTCGAAAAGCAGATACTCCTAATCGCGACTGCCCTGGAGACACGACCCGCAAGCGGAAGTCGACGCGATCTTGTCGTAAGCAACAGCGTCTGCTTCAAAAGTTATTGGCCGTTACGATGACAGCACTTCGGAAGATAATCAATGATGGAGTGAATGATGGCATTGATGTTAAATTTGACTCTTTATTAATTGAAGTAATTGACAATATACAAGATGATGATTTTATAGAACTATCAGAACCATTAGGTTATATTTTTAATTATTCAATCAAATGTAATGGTAATCTTGATAAACTAGTTGACTACATCGTCACAAACTTGATCGTTGTGTCTTTCATGGGGGGGGGGCATATATTATTGTTAGCTGGGTCCGCCTCTTGTGGTCCTGTGGGTCCTGCCCCTGGTCTTGTTTTGAAGTGTAGAAGGTTGCCCACCCCTGACCAGGCTGGTCCTGCTCCACCGCTACCGACATCTTGCCATCTTGTTAACCCGACAATTGGAATATATTCTACTTCGGCTGTATAACAACACCAGAATATATGGAGGGGTGTAGTTTAATTATTTGGTATATATAGTGTATAGTAGTTTGATTAAATTTAATTTTCCACGTCTGACACCAGGGCAAGCAAGCAAGTGTCATTTGTGTATTCAAGTTTGATTCAACATAAACGAGAATTCATGTTAAACCTCTCTGTCATTGTGGTAATTAATTGTCGGTATTCAAAGTTTCAAACCTACAGTTGAGTAGTGTATATTAACTGTTCTAGTAAGAATGGTGTCAGAATATTTATAACTGTGAATACTATGCACAGATTAATAAATGTAATATATTTTGTAGGGAACTAATGATGTGAACCACCAAATTAAAGCGACAGTCGCACCTGCAATCTTTTTGTGTGGTACTTCTGTGTTTGATACTTCGGTAATGTATGTTGTTCGGGAAGGAAGAGTGATGTGCGACGCATCACGTGAATATACAAACTTTTAGACTGTCTAATTCTGTTACTTTGTGTTCATTACACGTACAGCTTTGATTATAAAGTCCAGAGAAGTGCAATGATATTTTTAGAGAAAGCAATCTTTGGAATCAACTATAATAACCAAATCCACAACATTTCTAGAGGGAGTTTTGGATAGCTGAAACGACGCTTTTGAAGCAGGGTTTTTGTGTCAACAGGAGCTGGTTCAAGCAGTGCAGAACTAAATGTAAACACTTGAAAGCTCAACACAAAACAACTTTGATAGCACCACCGTCGGCCATTTAAATTTTGCATGGCGGGAAGCGTGGTTTTCGGCCAAGTGTGAACGCTCCACAAATACGAACTGAGATCCATCCACTTTGAATCGATCTCAGTGTGAACAAGGCCGTATATCAGCAGGGAAGCGTAAATGTCGACGACCATGATTAGATGACTAATCAAGCAACTATACAAGCACGTCAGCAGCCGCAGAAGAAAAGGTACATTGCTATTCCTCAGGAGGTGCAGAAAGACGATGTGAACCATTTCCCCATTTATGTCACTGTTCGCCAAAAATGCAAATTATGCCCAAGGACAACTTCGTATTTTTTTATATATATCAAGTGTACGAAGTGTAGTGCACACCTTTGCCTAAATAAGGATAGGAACGGTTTGCAGCATTTCACCAATGAAGGTCATAGTGACTTACCACCAAAGGGCCACCGTCAAAGCTAAGTTTTGCATGTTTTGCGCATACAGAGTAGAAACACTCACGATTTGTATGAATCAATCAATTATAGACAGGACAAGTACATCTGGCTGCAATTTTTTACCTTCACATTTCTGAAAAACGACCCTCTAAAACCTCTGGTACCATACACTACATATATGATACAGTACCAACCAAAAAAGGAAGTTCGGCAACTTTGAAACTGAAAATTTTCCCTCCCCCTAATTCGTAATGTATAATTATTTATATTTGTTATTTGGTATGGACATACCTTTATAAAAATTATGAAACTTGGATGAAGCCTGTTTGACAAACCTGATATCAAACCGCTACAACTTGATATTCAAAGCATATACGTCCTGCAGTAATTCCTAATATATTAAAATCTAAATATTCTGCTGATCATTATTATTATGAACAAATTAGGTCAACGGCTTTTTCCAAACTTCAAATATGCTTGCTTTGAGTGCTGATCGAAGTGACAAGCCGGGGTTTTTAGTTGTGACTTTCGTTGGGTATCATAAAATAAAGTATATACTGTATCTTCTTGCATTACAAGTACCGACATATAATAATACACTTCTCTTTTTAGATTTCAATGAGACTGTTTTGACTTGTTGAAATGTGAAAAACTGAATAGACTATACACATTTTCCAAAAAGTAATTAGAACTCAATTACTCGGCTAATGTAATCACAGGATCCATTATTTCAAGAGCTTTGGCTTGATTACGAGTCACAAATCTAGCTTCAACTGACAATAACAAAACAAACAAGTGGCGCCACGCATTGCATGCTCGGATCGCAGGTGTAAACAATGAATATTTCTGACAAAAAAGTATTTAAAACAAAGTATTTATTTAACGATTTTAACTACCTCGAAAGTATTTCTATTCAAAAAATAGTTGAAAGTATGGTAAAACTTTGTTTTTTTGTTTATGCGAGGTTTTTCTGTGTACTTCGCAATGGTGTTCAAGTTTCAAGCATGTGTTATTTGCCAATGTTTTAGTTAAAGAACTTTGATTTCTTAGTTCTTTTTTAGCACTATAACACACAAATCGTTGTTGGAAGTCAGCAAACTTATCGTCGTATTTAATGTTTTTTCTTTAATGTTTTTTGTTAGGTTTGCTTTCTGTTTGTTTTCATCAAAGTATTTTGTGAAACTTTACTCATTCTTCTAAATAACATCACAGAAGTCAGAACATCAGAAACATGTCAATTTAACCAGCATGCAATGTGTAGAGCCACCTATTTCGTTATCCTCATTTAGATGCATATCAGTTGCAATCAGCATTGCAATTACCTAGCAAGTAGTATGACATGAAACACAGGACATGAAAAAGACAAGAACAGTACAGTACAATAAAATATATAAAACAACACAAATGAAAACCTACAGGAAAACAATACACAAACTAACACAACACTACATCCAAGAAATGAAGGGATCTGCTAGCCACGACATTATGCAGCTACTTGAGAAACAGACACGATATTATAAACATTGCCAAGTGAACTATGTATCAGAAGAGAAGCAAAAATCTTGTTCCTCAAATATTAAGTTCAACCGTTAGGTTTCATTGTTGACATCCCACTCTTTGTTCGCCATCCAATTCGTATTATACTGCATTTTCTGGCTTAGACAGTTGGCATGCAGTCATCCTGAAATTCAAAAAATAAATTAACAGTAAATAACCGTTTTCAGATGATCTGATCAGTGACATTTAGGGAACCTTTCACTGCTATCATGCTGTTAAAAATGACAGAAAAGACAACGGAAATCGTCTAAGATTGCAGAGCCCAGGGCTCGAATTGAAAAAGTCTGACAAAGTATTTTCTTTTTGGAAGACCAAGTACCTAAATCAAGGCCAAAATAGTGCCACGATGTTGTGTGTGAAAGAAATGTAGACTGTGGACACTTGTCTGACAGATGTGTGAGGATTTCTTCCATGCAAAGCCTGTTGCCAACAGATGTGCATGTACTGTACTACGTTTTAAGATGACTCGCCACATTTTTTCAATAAATTGATAATTCCATATTTAGACGTAATTTTTAAAAAAATAACTCATTACTCCTGCACCATACTTAAAACGCTGACACAAGCACGCATGTCGCATATTTCCGGCCATCAGCCGGATTAGTTATGTAAATTTAAAATCAAACTTAATCACATTTAGGTTTACCTGTAAAAATATCAACTACTGCAGGTCTAAATCTTGTCTCCGATCCTTGGATGCAGCGCTGGAATTACAATGGAGATTATTTCGCCATTTGGTTTCAACAGCCAATATTTGCTTGCACATGATTCTTCAGTTCTTCTTATCTAAATTGAGCCAATTCAAATGTGTGATTCATTGTAAAATGCTTGTTAGCTAGCTAGTTGTAGTACTTCTGATAGCAGTCTACAGTCCATATTTAACAGCTCTACCTGGCACCTGATTTAATCCTACGAAAGTAGGAAGGCCTAATAATTAATACTGAACTATGCCACACATTCAAGGTTTACCTGTAAAAATGTCAATTGCTGTAGGTCTAAGTCTTGTTTCTGACCCTTTGATAGAGCACTGAATCACAATGAAGATTGTTTGGCCATTTGGGATCAACAGCCAATATTTGCTTGCGTCTGATTCTTCAGTTCTTTAATCAAACCTTTTTTATCTAAATTGAACCAATTTAAATGTGTGATTCATTGTGATTATTGTTACATGTTGTATTTCTGATAGCAGCCTACAGTCCAGGGTATTTAACAGCTCTAGCTTGCACGTGATTGGCTATGAAGGCTTAATAATTAATAGATTAAATTTCTAGTTCCGCATGTTTGTAGTCACCTGAATAAAGCAATTGTTTATATGGTTGGCAAGTTCAACTCCTTCGAAAAAACAGCCATTGTGAAGAATGCTAGACACCTGGCTAGTATTATTATTCATTCCAGCAAGGCTTTTCACTTCTTTCCACCACTGTCGAGTGTTTGATTTTCCGCAATGCTTGATTTTGTGTTTAAGATAGCGTTGTTTTGTCTTTTCCACTAATCGATTTGTCTTATTTCTCAATGATCGAAACTCCGGTGATTGTGGTGCTAATCACATCCAAGCTTTCTGCCGTTCAACTATAGCTCGTTGAATTTATGCAGATATCCAAGGTGTAAAGTTCACAGTTTTTAATTTTTCAAAAAACATGTGTCTATTGGCACTGCAAATTCACGTACAAGCACTTTTGATTTCTTTCCTTTTGGTGAAATTGTCTTGGGAAATAGTACATTGTGATCAGAACTTCCAATTGAGGGTAGGATTTCAGGTTGGTTGTAGTATTTATGAAGAATAGGTAAGATCAGGCCAAGAATCTTTTGCCCTCTCGTTGGTATTTTACTAATTGTCTTAAGTTAAATGAGGACCACAGATCTCGATAATTAAAATGGTTAAAGTCGCCTGCTAACATGATAAACGCATTTGGAAAGGAGTCAAGGGTACTATCTAAAGTTGGATATAGCTCATAAGAGCTTTATTATCATCACTATCATGTCCGGGGGTGGGGTGGCGATAAACAACTCCGACAACAACAACTTCGTGCCCAGGGTCATTCCTCTTGCGGAGAAAAGACCCTGGCAGACGCTGGTCACGTTCTAATTAACTATCTTGGATTCCTTTATGACAATCATACAAAATGCAAATTATAAATTAAACTATAAAAATCATCCAAACATCAAACATTTATTGACCTCATCTTAATTGCTAATTAAAAATCTGCTAAATTTTCGCAGATCACCTGACCAGTGTCTACCGGGGTCTCTTCTCCCCACGCCAAGAGGAAAGACCCCAACCTCGTACCCAGGATTTTTCTTTGGGAAAGACCCCATCCTCGTCCCCAGGGCCTCTCGGCCGCGTGCGTCCTCCCTAGGCCCTGGGACACACGGAACCTTGCAGTAGTTTCTAAAGCGCATGCTCTTGAATTGGGACACTTTAGCACCCGTAAGAATTTTCACAGTGAAGTATTAAGAAGAAACGAAGTATTTGT